AAAATACAACAAGTTTGATAGGTAAAAACTAAAATTAAAATAAAATAGATTGTATATTTTAGAAAACAACAATATATTAGTAAGATGCTTACAGTTTTAAAGTAATGTTCTTTTTGTGATGAGTACGCCCACCTCAACCTCCGCCTTTTCTGTTAAACATTGTGTATTACACAAGTAGAATTCTCGTCTAAGAGGCTAAAATTATCGTGTACACAGACTAAAATTCTCGTGGAAATTCTCGAAATTCCTGTGGAAAAGTAAAATTCTCGTGAAGAATGTATTAGGGATGTTCCCAGTTCCTCTTACACAAGTAGAATTCTCGTGTAGAAGACTAAAATTCGCTTTGAGTTTGCTGTTTTTGCTTCTTTCATAATTAAACTTCTCGTGCGATAGACTGAAATGCTCGTGAAAGGAAGTGAAACTCTTGTGGAGGGAGGGAAAATTCCGGAATTTCGAGAAATCTTTCTGCTTGTGATTTGTTTACTATATTTGGCTTTTAGTCAAGGGGAAAATTCTCACGATAACAGAAAAATTCTCGTGGTAAGAGTAAAATTCCGGAATTGATGGAACTCGGACACTGCTGAATCATCGAGGCTATAACGATGGTGTCATATTTCAGTATATCCCTATTCATCTCTGCTAATAAAATGAAAAGTTTTCAACTATTGAAGATGATTATTGTCTGAAATTTAGGCTGATAAATACAGATATTTGTTTCACAATTAGAAACCCTTTCAAAAAATAGTATTTCAATTTTTAATACGTCGTTCATATGATCTCTAGAGTTAGAGTTCACGACATTCAGATCATTAAAGAACAGATAGTTTGTCATACTACTGAGATAGCATAAGGTGGTGTTGCAGAAAAACTAAGACCATTCTTTCTTCTCATCTAATCTCGTTTCCTGTTCTTTCTTACTTTCTCTCTATATCTCATTGAGCGATCATTTTTTTTATTGACTCAGGTATGTATATAGAAAAGAATGAACACCACTCTGTACAGTTAATCTCCACAAAAAGGTTATCAATTTTTTCATGTTTGTTCTCTTCGTCTTTCTTCGTTATACATGTGAACTGGACAAAGGACAGTGAGAAAAAGCTCATAAAAATGCTTCTTCATATTAGCTTATTTTTATCATATTTGTTATTAATTCCTTTCGTTGAAAATCAAATGGCTGGGGGTAATTTTGATTTACAAACATTACAATGCTGGCGTTGTGAACCAAAAGACTGTCATCGACATTTTGATTTTACTCAACATCGAATGGAAAGTTGTGATGGAAAATGTTGGAAATCATTTGAAGTTATTGAAACAAAAACAAAAGAAGATCGCGAAAAAGCTGAAGAAACGCCAGCACTTCGGCAATGTTTTTCGAGTGAAGATCTAACAAAAGCGTCGACAATTGGTTTGAATTCAGCGAACGGTTGTCGAGATGTTAAAATGCGTGAGAAAATTAAAAAGTTTTGTTTTTGTGATAGTAACATGTGTAATAGAAGTAATCGACTTTATTCGCATCTTATATTGATTATTCTATCATGTAGAACTATTGTTTATTTCTTTTAAAACTTACCCGTTTCTACTAAAAAATAACTGAGAGATTATAGACTTGATTCATCTGCCATCCTAAATTATTATTACCAATTGTAAGAACACATTTATAGTTTGTTATTAGTTCAAATTTGTGTGTTTTTCGTGTTAATCAACACTTTTTTGTTAATATTATTGTCCACATGTCAGGTAAATACAAGATATCATTCTTTACCAAAAAAAATCATAACAGAAAAAGTCACATTCTAAATAGTAGATAAAATCACTATATCACCAAATTCAATGCGAGTTTTAATATACAACGTTCAATTTGAAATGTTATTTGTCTTTTTTTATAATTCAGGATAAGAATGAATATAATTCAGTTTAATTTGACACACATAAATGTCTTTATCCCAGGTGAACTCAAAACAAAGCGCATGATTTAGGAATGTGACTGAACAAACAAGACGTCAGCATCCTTTCTATGTTAGAAAATATCCAAAGATCTTGAAATAAAATCTTTCAAGATCTTATTTTGAGATTCCTCGATCTGCAAAGCCAAATATTGATCAAACAAAAATACTGAGATCAATACTTTCTCTCATACGAGATCTAGCCAAGGAAACTCTAAAGGAAGAGAGGCCCACACCTTCCCTTGTGACTACCGCTGATGCTGACAAATCAGAATTTTCAGTTTAGTCCGAGACCTTCCGTGCAAGCAATGATCGTTGAAAGTAGTCTTCTATCCTTTTGCTATAGCGATCAAACTGCGTGTCTGATCAGTAGACTTCAATATTGAAACAATTTTAAATTTTAATTTTCTGCAACCTTTCGAAGCTTTTCGCCACATCATCAGGCAAAATTTATTCGTAATAAGAGATAAAACAGATTTATTTATTTATCTATTAACAAAATTTATTCGTAACACACATGTTACAAATAAATTTTGCCTAATGATGAAGCGAGAAGCTTCGAAAGATCATAGAAAAATGTTTAAAATTGTCTGTTTAATTGTCTCAATATTAAAATTTTAAAAAAACCACTATTATACAAAAATAATTTGATCAGAAGACTAGCTTGACGCTGAGTTCTTTCGTCCATAGACACTTATAAACTACGTACTAGCTTTCTGTCAAACCAAAAGAATTATGGTGTACGTCACACCGTAGTGAGCAGAATAAGTCAAAATGTCTTTTGTTCGATACCAAAAATGAAAAATAGTTAGAATTGAAGATAATTAATACACAAATGTACCATTAGCTGTGCAATTGATGACACTATCTCTCCTGTATTTGTTTATTTTTTATTATTGAGAGGTAAATTTTATAGCGAATAAATATAGTATAGACATTTGACTGACTTGAACACCGCAGACGATTAATATGTTTGATCGGAAGACAGATGAAAAAAATTGTGATATACTTTGCGGATTTTGACGGATATTTGTAGAATACACTCGACTTTAAATGTTGGGTTGTGTTTAGACTTAATAAACTATAAAGTACAAAAGTGTTGGTATCTGTTGTGAGTATTAGTAGCTGATGGTGTATTTACAAATACCAGACTTTTGCAGAACGTTGATATAAGAAACAAGAGCATAGAAAGTGAGCGTGGATATCCACGATTCTGCTTTTTGAGATTTTTTGTTTTTCCTACAGCAGAATGTTTTTTGAAATATGAAACTGTCAGTTTCGTTTTTTTCAAAGCAAAATTTTAAAACAAACCCATGAAACATCTGGATAAGTTTTTTATCCTCATCCTGCTTCGTAGATCGAGCTAAGCCATCGATAAGTAAAGAATGTTCAGAATCCGATAATAAGAAGACAGACGATGATTTGGAGAGTATTCGTTTTTCTTGAATAAGAATACAAGTTTTTTAATTTTGGACTAAATTATAGATAAAATAGAATAAAAAAATCGAACCAGTTTCTATTCTGAACATTTTATCAATATTTAATATTTAATATTTTTAAATATTTTATCAATGAAGAACTGCACAAGATCATTGCAAACTTTTCACGAGAAAATGTTGTTCTCTCATTCTCAGGTTGTGTTTCTTCAATATTAACTGTTCTTTTCCATACTTAATTTCACCATTGATTTTTTTCTTTTTTTAGAATTTCTTCTCGATTGTTCACGGTTTTTCTATAGTATCATTCTTGATATTGAGGTTTTCTGCAATCTGTCATCGTTATTAGGCATGTGCTACTCGATCAAGTTCGACAGTTGCTGTACATTTTCTAATTTTCGTTCCAAATCATTGACTTTCGACTTAATCTCGAATATCGGCACTGTTAACTCTACTGTTAGTTTTTGTCTGTAATTTAATTTTATTGACCTTGGAATACAACGATTACAGAACGTTATTTATGTCTAATACACAGGATCTCCATTTAAAAAAAAACAGGAATGATAAACGTTTGCGCTTCGCAGCGTAGTTCGTAATGTTTTGATTTGCTCAACTTTTTCCTAGGACGATGACCGCTGTTCTTGTCCTTTCGTACTCAAGTCTAATCAGTCTATATTTTCTGTAGCTGTTATTATCAACGTATTATACTCGAGCCAACTGCTTAAAATATTTTACCGATTCCATCCAGAAATCATTAATAATTGTTGCAGCCCACAATCTCTTTTGTTTCGATTGAAAAGTGAGATCTTCAGGTTAACTTTTACTTAGAATAATAAACTTATACGAGCAGATCCCAAGAACTCTGACAGTGTTTCATCAGTTGAACCGGACAAGAACATGTTAGTATTTCTTCATCGATCAAAAACAGTTTTTAACTAAAGTTCATTATCCCAACTATATAAATTTCATCGATGTAAGGCTATCAAAAATTCATCAAATGGTGTCTTTTATTCGTGAATCTGTTATTTGACCAACATAACTTACATATCTAATTGTCCAATTCATTCACTAAATCTGTACAAAGGATGGAGGTCAATTTCAGTTTCTGAACGACTCTGTATTCGAAGCCATCAATTCGTTCAAACATTCTTGGTGATCAAATCAGTACCAAAATTCTCCTTTCAAAACATTCTCTTGCTGCTATTTTCACTCTAATTTCAACAATTCATTAGCACAAATTACATTTACAAAATATCAACGTAGCAAGAGACAGAAATATCTAATAAAAGCTAGTTGATATTTATACTCATCATTCTGTGAACACAAAAGAAATACACAACAAAAATATACATCTGAAAAAATGACGTTCTATTCTCGCAGAAGAAAAAAACACAAACGCAAAGTAAATTACGAATATAAATATTTGAACAGGCATAAGAACGTTTCATAATATTTCTATAAAAAGTAATCAGGTGTTCGCCGTGTTACATGGGGTTCACCGCGTCTTGGCGCCGGGTCAAATTGTAAAAATGAATATTTGAGTGAATCATCTAATTCCATGATAGCCGCTTGA